CCACACACTATGGAAATTCCAGGAGTCTCTGGAAGCTGACTCTAATTTTACTGGTTTGTGGTACACAAAATTTTAAATTCATAATGAAGACATTCTCATTGCATGAATAGATTTTATTGTCCATTGTACTTTATCTTATCAGAAAAATTGATTATCTTTGTAAAGCTTCTGTGATTTTTAAAATGTGTTTAAATTATCCCTGCCTCTTCCTCTCTCCAGGATTAAACTCAGTCCAGGGCCTTTACACTGAGTTAGTTTTCTAGTGATTTATTTTATTTATTCGTGTATTTTTTATTTGATACAAGCACTTACTAAGTTGTACAAGCTAAGTTTGAACATGTGGAATTTGTGATCCACCTGCGTTAGTATCTGTTTAATTTCAGAGTATTGCAACTACCAGACTGCTTCACCAGGTCTCACTTACAGTTTAATTTGTTCCTATTGATTTGTAACTACTCTCCTGCTGCAGTAATTCACAAATGTCTTTCCCTCTATCATGTATTTTCCTTACATGAATTTTATTTATTTTTAGGTTTCCTTTCCCTTTTCTTTGAATACCTCCTTTCACTTACTTAAACATGTCTTCTTCCATGACAGGACATTTTTGCTCTGCTCTCCATGATTTTTAAAATATTTCACTTGACTTTTAGTCTGGAATTTGCTGCCATTATCAAAAAGGAGAACGTTCCCAGCATGAGTGTAAAACTTAAATTCTCTGTGTGAATAATAAAGACATTACAATGCAATTCAGGTGAAAAAGAACTATATCAGTTCCTATTATTATCATAAGAAGTTAAGAAATCTTGATGATTGGAATAGTATAAATTTAATATATCATATATCTGAAGTCTAGAATTCTGACCTAGTTCTCATAGAGCTAACATCAAGCTGCTGACAGAGCTCAGATACTTCATGGAGACAACAGTGGACAACCTATTTTCACTTTTCGAATCTTACAAGCTTTCTCAAAACTGATGTGACACAATCTTGCTCCAGTTAGAATGGAGACTATCAAAGCAAAAAGAAAGAAAGAAGAAAAAAACAAGCAAGCAAGCAGAGAGAGAGAAAGAGAGAGAGAAAAGGAAAGAAAGGAAGGAAGGAAGGAAGGAAGGAAGGAAGGAAGAAAGAAAGGAAGAAGAAAATAAGAAAGAAAAAAGAAAAAGAAAGATAGACAGAAAGAAAGAAAGAAAGAAAGAAAGAAAGAAAGAAAGAAAGAAAGAAAGAAAGAAAGAAAGAAAGAAAATTATGCATTAGCCATATGATGCAGCTATCCTGCTTCTGGGTGCATATGCAAAGAAAACCAGCATATCAAAGAGATGCCTGCCCACCTATGTTTAGTGTGGCATTAGTCACAAGAGTTAAGATGAAGAATCAGTCTAAGTGCCCATCCACAGAGGTGCAAAAATTGTTTTTTAAAGTTGTATAGGCACAGAGTAGACAATGATGTGGCCATAAAGAAGCATAAGATTTTGTCAATTGTGGGAAAATAGATTGAAAAGGAACCTGCTATGTGAGATAAAGCAATCTAGAAAAAAAAGACAAGTTCCACATGTTTTTGCTTATATGTGCAACCTACCTACCAAACAAAGAATGTCAACCTGTAAGAGCAGTGATTACCAGAGATTGGGAGGGATGTATGGGAGGTTGCTAGAAGTGGGGGAGCAAATAAGGGATAATTAGATTTCGTCAATACACGCTGTATGTGTGGAAATATATTAAATTCCTTCATTGTGTAAAATAGACATATGATAATAAAAAGCAAAGCCATTTACACATCATAGATTTTGCTCCTCTTCTCCCCATTTTTAACCAATAGCAAGTCACCTTTCTGAACTTGTTTTCATAGTCTTGATTCTCTTTTATTTTATTTATTTTTTATTTTTTATTTTTTTGCAGAACCAGGGATTGAACTCAGACACTTGGGCTTGCCAGGCAAGCACTTATTCTACTGAGCCATCTCCCCGGCCCCACTGATTCTCTTTTAAACTGAGACTTGATGTGTTCTCTGTAAGAACTTTATGGGCTTAAATGTGGCCCGTTTGGATAACCTGGCATAATTTCTTTTTCAAGGTCCAGACCCTTAGTCATATCTCAAGTCACTTCTACAGGGTAAGGTAGCATACTTAAATTGTGGAGACGAAGACATAGACATTTTGAGGGGTCATCACGTCATTTACCACAAATATCACACATTTGCTCATAATGACACTGTCATTCCACTATATCATGATAAGTTTTGATTCCTCAAAATATTTTGTAGAAATCTGAAAAATATGGACACTTCAATATTTCACATTTAGGCACCAGAGAGATAGCGCAGTTGAATAAGTGCTTGCCTGGCAAGTGCAAGGGCTTGAGTTCAATTCCCGGTTCTGAAAAAAAAAAAAAAATCACATTTAACATGGACCATTGTTAACATACATCAATTGCTACATTACTGATTTAAATTTCTTCTGCTAAAAGTCTTAATAGAAACTCAATTTTGGCTTTGATTCTAGCTTACATGATTACTTCTTTCATATTAAATTATAATAATTTGACATATGAGATGAAAAGTTACTTTATTTGCAGATAAGTGTGCAACAAATGTACATTACCAGTTCTTTGAACATTGGCAATTTTATTTAAACTGACTCTATTTCCTCTTTTTTTTAAATTTTATTTATTTCTTTGGTACAAGGCCTTACTACACAGCTCAGATTCATAGTGATCCTCCTGTCTCAACTTCCCCAACACTGGGATTAGAGGGATGAGCCACCACACCCAGTTTTAGTGGTGGCATGATGTGCCCTGGGGTTCTAGGGCCATGGCATGAAGAACTCAGGATCAAACCCCGGTCCTTGAACTCTCACGGTAGATGCTTAGACTGCTGAGCTATCTCCCCAGCCCTCCATTGCCTGTTCATAGAATAAAGTTCTAACACCTGTTTACTTATGTTAAGTGTTGCTTAATGCATCAAATATTTAACAGTATGTAAATAGAAAACATAGTCAATAACTTAAAATAATGATTGAAAAATAATTATAGTTCTATACCTGCTTTTATGCATATTTAACTTGACAGAGGAGACATTTTATAATATATATTTATGTTCTTTACATTTTCCTGTATACTAAATACAGTAGTACTTTGGTGTTGGTCGTTTATTGGTTTTTGGAGGGACAATGAATACCAGAAATGAAAGCATGAAACGAATTATTTTTCTGGAAGGAATAGAGTTCAGGATGTGATGGACTAAACAAGGATTAGTTCATTCCAAGAACCAAATAAAAGATGAATACCCAGTCAAAATTTTCAAGTCAAACTCTGTATAGTACCAAAATTGATGAGTTTTAAAGCAATGAAATACAAAGATATAGCTATATTTACTGAAGTGTTATACACTTTATACTGTGCTATCAGTAGTGCTAGTCTTTTTTACTTTCTGTTATTAAGAGAAAGAACATTTTCTCTTTCTCGATTTATCACTTTTGTAGCAAAGCAAATCATTTACATGTAGAAAATTTACAGACAGCATAAATATGCGCTGAGACAAAGTGAGCATATGTCAGTCTATGTTTATAGAAGCCAAATTTTCCAAGAAATGATAGAAAAAGATTAAGTCAAATAATTTTCATAATACTGAACATTTATTGGGTGATTATGTTTGAAAAGTGCATTACACATTAAGCAAAATACAGCAATTACCTTATCTTTTATTTTATTTTAGAAAGTAAAAATAATGATACAAAATTTCAAAACAAGACAGTAGGAGAGTAACAATGATTCATACATAGCTTATTGTTATGTTCAAAGCAATTGCTCAGATTATAAAATATAGGCCTGAAAACTGATCAAGTGATATAAGCAACGAACTTCTTTTCTTTTCTTCTTTTTTTAACGTGTTATAAGGTCTCACTAAGTAGCTTGGTCTTACAGGGAGTCCTGTTTTCAACTCTTTCAGTGCTGGGATTACAGGTGTGCACCACCATGTCCTGACACTGTCACTGGCTCAGAGTGTTTGGGGATGGGGCTGCACGACTTGCAGTACTGGGATTGAGCCCCAAGCCCGGTGCTTGTTTAAACACGTGTTTAGTCTTCTGAGCTACCTCACCAGCTGATAAACCTTCTGCTTTTCAATGACCTAATAGAAATTAGTAGTACAGCTATCTTAAATAACTTGTGTATATGTCTGTATCTATATATCTATATTTACATTCTCCTTCCTTATGATGATGAGCCATCTCTGTGGCCCACTTATTGCTTATTTGATTTTTAATATCTAATAACATTTTTCTTATACAGTTGTATGCTCCCATAATTAGTGTATACATATATATGATGGTTATCTCTTCCTCTTGAGTTTTCACCTAGCAAGTATATAGCGACCTCTTTATATCCTTTTAGCATCCTGAATTGAAGTTCATATTGTCTGTAAACAGAACATCTACTACTGATCTTTGCAAGTTCTTATTCACGGAACACTGGCTTCAATATTTTTATTTTTCAGTCTATGATGTCCTTTATGAGTTAAATGCATTTCTTATGCACAGCAAGTTGTTGGATTGAATTACTTGATACATTCTTCCAGTCTGTTTCTTTTGATTAGTGAGTTGAGGCCATTCATATTGATAGTTATAACTGATATGTATTGGCTTATATTTGTCATGATATCTTCCTGTTTTATTTCCATGCTTTTCCCCTCTGTTCAATAACCTGACTGGCCTGGTCATTTCTTTCCTTTATTGTTTTTGAAATTGTACTTATTTTTATCTCTATGTAGAATATTTTTAGTATTCCTTGTAGAGTGGGTTTGGTGATAATGAATTTCTTTAGTTGTTCTTGGTCGTGGAAGTATCTTATTTCTCTATTAATTAAAAAAATACTTTTACAAGGTACAAGAGTGTGGGTTGGAAATTGTTTGTGGTCAGGACTTGAAATTATCTTTTTTGTTTTTCAAGACTTGAAATGCTTCATTCCAAGAATTTCTTGACTTGAGGATTTGTGTTGAGAATTGTGCCATGATTCTGTTGGGCTTTCATGAATTTGCATGTCAGTCTTGTGCAGAGGCCATGCTCATCTCTGCATTGTTTCAATTTTAGTTATGTGCTGCCAAAGGGAGCACAGCAATTACCTTATTAAAGCTCAAAGCAAATCTATGATTGAAACATTGCTGACTCTTTTGCATGAGAAAAGACCAAAGACATGAATTCTCTGGGAGATTAACTAAAAACCTTGAGGCTACACAGGTATTAAATGGCTATGGAAAGATTTTAGTCAGGCATGAATTGGAAGCTGTGACCTGCCCTCTCTGCTTCATGTAGAGATATATAAGACATGATATGCTTTAAACTGAGAGGAGTAGGAAACTGAGGTAGTCCAATACTGGGCCAAAATTGGGTACACTGCTCAAATTGATTTAAAAAAATTTTACTGCCTATTTATAGAAGAAATAAATGATCAATTATTCATGATGCTTATTAAATGTTGAAGTTATAGTAACAAACTGTGCTGTTTAAATTTGGTGTGCTTGTTTAAAATTAAACTAGTTTTACTATTTTTCAAAAGTCAGAGAAAATACTTTCTTAGCAATTTTAAACAGACTACATACAACAAAATTCAAAATATATAGGAAAATTCTTCAACTTGATTTGGCATTACTCAGTGTCATACTAGAAGGGTTGCAGTATTTATTAACTTACATTGAATTTTAAATTCAGTATATTTTTACTGTAACCTATAACTACAACTTACCTTGTGGAAAAATTTGAAATAATTAAAATTCTACAGGACAATCTCTATTTGAATATTTAATCTGACCCACAAAGCTATACATTTGTATTCAGATGTTTGTGTTTATAAATTTATGTGTGCAAATTATTTTACTTAGTAAAAATTATACATTAAATGAAATGAACAATTTCACCTTATATGTAGGAGAACATGATAGTAGTTTTGATTTTAAAATATAATAATTTTATCAATGAACATTGAACACTAAGTACTTAACACATAATGTCATTTCTGAATTAAAATATTTTGAATGTTTCCAAACTTAGCAAAATATAAAATTCCTCCAATGATTCAACAGACCTTTGCAGTCTCTTTTGTTGTTGCTGTCTCTATTCTAGCTGTATACATTTTTAACTATTTCTATGAACTTTTTATGAATTTTGCTTCATAAAGATCTTGGGCATTCAACTCTGTTTATAATATTCCTGAATGTTTATGTAACTATATAACTCTTATTTGGTATAAGGTTCCCAAATTTATCATAACTTCTCATAAAACTTAATATTTTGATGCTTACTCATTCATATTATAATTATGTATTTAATACCTGAAAATGAGCCAAATAGTCTCAGTTATGTTATGACTAATCTGTGAATGAAACCATCCAAAATCCTTTGTCCATAGTTTTCGTGTTTCAGAGCAGCTCTGATGTTAATAGCTAAGTAATAGACTAATTTATATTTCATAGATATTTTAAGGAAATTTCCCAAGAGATCTATTTACTAATGATCTTAGCCATAATAGAGATTTACTAAGCATAATTTGCTTAGAGACAATCATTTATGTAATTTACAAACATATTTTTCTTTTAAAGCACAGATCATTTGATCTTAGAAGATGGTGATAATTAATTTTACAACTACCAAGACATGGTAAAATGATGAACTCTGTGTATTCCTAGTCATTATTTGATTTGCTTCATTTATATTTTCTACCAGTGAAATTAAAATATCCAAGTACACAGTCTGTAAACTATCGTTTTGCTATTGTTCTTAATTATTAAAGTAGTTAACATTATTAGTTTTATAACTCATATACTTAGTATATATTGCATTTCTATAACTGCATTTTTTAATTACCGCTAACAATCTATGTTTAAAATATTGCTCATAGTTTCAAGGCGTGATCATCATTTTTGTAAACATTTGTCCTTACTACTTATATAGCAACCCTATCAAAATTTTAGGAAAAATGTTTCTGTAAACTTATTGACAATTTTATCTGTCTGAAATATCTACTTCATGCATGAAAAACATGTCTATGTTGGTAGTGATGAGGATTGGTGGAAGTAGAGATAAGATTCCTGTTTCTGTGTGATTTTCCTTTGTTTAAGTTAACCAAGGGAGCATGTGCAGAAATGTTTCAGGTGAAAGAACAAGACTATCAAAACGCAAGAGGTATAACCAAGAGATTTGTGAATGGTCGGTCAAAAATAAAGTGTGCTTTGTAAATGGACCAGAAAATGTATTCCATGGAATACAGAGGTAACTGCACACAAATGATAAGAAAAGTTATAGATTTTTAAAAGCTCCAATATATAACTTGGACATGCTACATTCTATGAAAAACTCCCACAGTTGTTTACAAGAAACTCCAAAGCTTACTTCTCATTTTCTGTTAAATCAAACTCATACAATGAAACAACTACATAGAAACAACAGCTATTTATAATATTATGAGGGAAGTTTAATTTTCAAAATCAATCCATATCCTGGTCATGTCTCTGTTAATCCTTTCAAGAGACTCTGATTTACATTCCTTCGTACGTTTTAGATGACGATGTGACTATTTTTTTTTAATTGTCCAAAACTTATTGTAAAGAAAAAAATCATTAAAGCATAGACATAAAAAATATTAGCTATGGAAGAACAAAATTAAATAGCATCTTATTCCACATTAGAAAGAAAAAAAAAGGACCAAATGTATAAGAAACTAGACTAAATGAAGGACTTAAACAGAAGATCTGTTCTCTTTGAATTTTGTACTTAGCAAACACATCTTTGAAAACTAAAAGTAAGATATTCTAGTTATACAAATTTGAAATATTTTAATACATGCAGAAGTAGCATATAGGAAGTAACAAAGAGCATAATTCAAAAGCCAAGAGAAGTTGCAGTATGCTCCTCGATAAAAAATAAAAAGCTCTCAATATGATAGTTATGCAGGACTATATAAAATATATTAGATGAACCCCTATTTAAAGGTCATTGAAGATTTCTATGAAAAAGTACCAATCTTATGGTGTGTTATACCTGTATTTTTTTCATAAATATGTGGATGTATGTGTGTATAAAAGATGGAAGAAGTAATATAAAGTAAACAGAAAATGGAAATATACTTTTTAAAGTTTCTAGTAGGAGAAGATATCATATGAGGTCTTTCAAATAAATTGTAAGTCAAAGATATAGTATAAATCTTAGAATAAAAATTGAGAGTAAGCAATATTCATAAAATTAAATACTAATTAATTAAAAATTAAATGTTTTAAAACAATTGAACTCAGAAAATATTTTCATGATAGCAAAGTACTAAGAGTAAAACATAAGATAAATACTGGAATGGCAAATAAATGATCACCACTTCTAACAGTTTGAGGATAGGATATCATACAGAGTTCTAGTGAGTTGTGGACATGAATAATGACCATGACAGTTACTGGTGGCCAGGTGTCACTTGTGGGACTGAGTACAGCTATTTCTTTAAAATCCATCCTGTAGATTCAAATGGAATCATGACCCAATGGTGGAAGACAAGTACATTTTTAGAATGTGCTGATGGAAATATTTTGCTGCTGAACACAAAAGAATAACAGAAAAACTCTATTGTATACTTCTTATTCTACTATATTTGTTTGCCCCACTTGCTGGGTTCTTTCTATTCTCATTCATGTGGCTGTGATCAATTTGCTCCCTCTCTAGAACATCATTTAGTAGTCTGTGTAGGCTTGGCTTTGTCATCATGACATTCTGTAGTTGTTCTTTGTCATGGAAGTATTTCACTTCTCCATTATACTTGAAAGAGAGTTTTGCAGGGTATATTAGTCTGGGTTGGAATTTGTTTTCTTGCAAGACTTGAAGTACTTTGCTCTGTGCTCTTCTTGACTTGATGATTTGTGAAGAGAAATCTGCCATTATTCTGATGGGTTTTCCTTTAAATGTGATCTGTTTCTTTTCTTTAGTGGATTTTAGTATACTGTTCCTGTGCTGAATTTCTGGGATCTTGATTATTATATGTCTGGGTGTGGTTTTAAATGAGTTGATGTTATTTGGAGTTCTATATGCATCGGTGACCTGAATGTCAGATTGTTTCCCTATAATTGGGAAGTTTTCTGCTATTACTTCTACCCATATTCTTTTTATATCATTTGTATTGTCTCCTTCCTTCTCATTGATGCCTATTAGTCTCACATTGTTCATCTTTGCATCATCTTGCAGGTATTGAATTTTTTCCCTGCATCCTAGTTGCTTTTAAGAGATCTTTTCTTAGTTTTTCACTAGCTGCAATGGTGTCTTTAAGGTCAGAAAGTTTATTTTCACTTTCACTCAAATGGTTTTGCCAGCTTGTGATTGAGGTTTTAATTTTCTATATATCACTTTGAATCTGTTTCATACATTCTATTTCTTTCCTATATTGCTTATTCAGGGGTTCCATCATTTTTATATTCTGTTCCATTTTTTATCAGTATATTCTTTAGAAGCACTTAGTAATTCTTTGATTATAGTTAGTACTACATTTTTTAGTTCAGAAATTATTTCTGATCTGATTTCTTCTATGCCTTTGTGCAGTTGTTTCTTTACTTCTAACACTATTTTTTCAGAGATATCTGGTGTGTGATTACCAGTTTCCTCTCTGCTAGTGTCTTCTGCATTTGTACTGGGTGGAGTCAGGGCCTGAGACTGCATTCTGTTCCTTCTCTTTGTCATTTTGTATACCACTGACTTCTGACCTTTCGTGTAGAGCTTAGATGGAATTATTACCTTAGCACCAGGTCCAAATTTACTAAGTTCAGATTCCTCCAGGTGGGTGTTGCTTGGATCTGACTGGGTTCTGGCTGCTGTGCTCCGTTTCTTCCTGCTGTAGCCCTTGGAATTGAACCCTTTGTGTCACTCTGGAAAGTTGTTCTACTCCTGAATCAGCTGGGTGGGTCTTACCTCTAACCTCTTTGCAGGAAATTTTGCTGAACAGTTCCATGCCAAGCCTGCACTCTGGGTCTATTCAGAATCCAGGTTGTCTCACTCACATGCTGGATCTAAGTTCTGGGTCTCTTCAGGATCCTCGGGCCCAGGTGCTGTTCCACACATGCCACACCTGGGCTCTTGGTCTATTCAGGAT